TTAATTACAAAAACATGAGCCTCCAGTGAGAAGCAGCGTATGTGTAGTATACAGACAACTGCCTTTTCTAGAGATACAGTTTCTTCTTGCTTGAAAGGGGTGATCTGCCTGAGAAATCAACTCATTTTCGTTCATTTGTACCAGTCTAGACTCCAACAACAAAAACTGGTGTGGATTCAAGGGTTCCAAGTCAAATGCTCCTGTGATGATTCTATACTAAGAAAACAGACCTAGGGGATGCAATATAATATCAGCATTTGATAATACATTGCATTGCCATTTTCTTAGTCTGTACAAATATGTTATTAGTTGTTTAGACAGGAATGCAAAATTGATTACAGGAATCCATTTAGATAGCTTGATACAGCCCAAGTTGTCAACTGCTTGAAAGGGAAAAAGATGAAACTAATTTGGATTGAAAAGGCCTGATTGATATCACTCATTTAATTTCCTTGTTTTTGTTGTGGAAGATCTGATTTTTCCCAGATCATTTTGGCATCTGTAAGTGTAGCCATTCTCTGATGTCCTAATTATCTGTAATCTGTAACATGCTACTAGACACAGAGTGAGAGTTTATGTTCTTTATGAACATGCAACACTCCCAAGGAGTGTTTATCATGAATGTATTATGAAAAGAGACCAGAAAAATATCCACGTTTATGCACCTACGTATGTACGTAAAGAGCCTTCATACAGGATGTCTCATGCATTTTAGCACACCCATTTCTGTTTCTTAACTGAGAATGTCATCTTTCTGACTCAAAAGCAAGCTCATAATTCATGGCCCTGCATAAGGCCGAATGTTGCTGTGAGTGTTTGGCGTGGTTTATAGGCAATCTTTTTCTTTTGGGTTGCTTCCCTCCAAAACCTCAATTTACCTGAGTTAGTCTTAGCTGTGTCCAATTCATTTTTAGTTGATTGACTTAAGTTCCAGTATCCTAGCCAACAAGGTGCAGAAATACTATTATCAGCTGCATAGAGCCAGGCAGTCAGCTGTTACTTTGGGAATCATACTGAGTCACTGGACAATAGTGATTCTATAATGGAAATTTTTCCTTAAGGTTTCACATTGTTATGCTTTGAATGGATATTGTCATGGAAAACTATGACACACACAGTTCATTTTCTTATGAGTCTAGATGGAAGCTTCGAAGCTACTTAAGAAGTTTGAGAAAATCTGAAAAGAGAGAGGTGTATTTATAAGGATGCTTCTCAGTAGACTTACAAATGCTTTAAAAACAGATGGAATCAAAGGTATTGCAGCTATAGCCTATAATAGGTATATTATCACAAATAACAAGATTTTGAGGGATTCTGAAAGAGGATGTCACTGAATCCTAGTATTATTTTAGCAGGCAGGGCATCTTGCCAAGGCACTCAGAGCTAACGTGTTATGTGTTAAGGAGTTGGAAATGGTAATGATGTCTTCAAGGAGACAAATGGACAAATATACAGACATCTGCAAAGCCAGAGCGTAATAACTGAATCAGTGACTTGGCTGTGATAAAGTACATGGTGGATGGAAGGGAAGAGAATTGTTAAGCTCTTTTTTTTTTTTTTTTTATTGTCAGTTAAAAATGAGTCTGGAATGGATCTTTTGGTGAAGTCAGTAATGCTTCCAGTGAGAAACATACAGTTTGCCTTCTCAGAAATAGAAGCCCATCATTCTGTTGCAGTGTCAGTAAAGAGAGCATTGGGCTCTGAATCTGTGCTTAAATCATGGGTCTTTGATCTGTGGTTGATGGTGACAGATGGTAGAGCTTTAAAGCTCTTGCTTGTTAGGGAGAAAAACTTTACGTTTAGAGTTTAGGAAAGCTAGAATGGGAAGAAACATAGGTGTGGGAGATATATGTATCGAATTGCTGTCTGTCCAGAGACAGGGGAGAAACATAAAGGAAAATGGAAGAGATAAGCAGTTCCCATTGACATAAACCAGCAAAATTCTGACAGACTACAAAAAGAGTAGGATTATTTCCACCTTCTTTAAAGTTTCTTGCTGGTTTGACCAATAAGAAAACCAGTTCTGCAAACATTTGTTTGTACTATGGCTCCACTACTTTTGAATTAAAGAAAATCGTTCTATGTATGAATATCTTTTCGTAGTGCTCGTAAAATAAGATTTGGAATACTCTACAGGAAGAAGAAAGAGAAGGGCAAAAGGAGATGTAGGTATCAACACAGCCTACTGAAATCAGTTAGTCTTTGACAGCAAGCTGTTGTTGCCAGGTTTCACCTCAAGGCAATCATTTTCGAGTAAGTAGGAAAACTTGCAGAAATCCGAAGAGGCAATAGCCAAGTGAGATCACGGGGAGTGTTGGGTGGGCAGAATGTGATTGGTGGTTGGACTTGTGCCAGGCATTCTGCTTAATGTTTCTTTATCTGTCTTCCAGCAGCTTGACAAGTGAAATAGGAAATGATTCTGCCTTATGGAAAATAAATATAAAAATATTTTCCACATCGTTAACATAAATTATAAAAACAATCTGTAGAGAAGGAGACTATTTTAACATGGCAGTTGCCAGTCTTCATTATTTTTATGAGCTTTGGCATTATGAATTGATTAAGCAGGTTAGGAAACTGTATTCTTTCTGCTGCTTTTAGTGAGCTTCAATTTATCAGGAAAATAGAAGAGAAATGAATATTAAGCACATTGGCTACATAGAAAAGAGTCTTTTCTGCAAACTTGTACAAATGAAAATGTTGTTTTAATCTTACTGACTTGCTTGGCTGCTCAGTTCTCTTGCAGTTTTTTCCAGGATGCCTGGCATTCCGAAATACGAGCTTCAAAAATGCTGGGCATTGTACAGTTCAGATATTCTCACTTTCTGTAATTACTACCACTAAATCCACTTTTTTTATCAATAACTAATTGCCTGTGTAATTCCGTTTTAGACAAAATTTCTCCTGCTCTTGGCATTCTGGTCTTTGGCACATTTTTTTGTTCCTATTTAGATGTCCTACTGTAGCAAAAAAGCTGTCACTGTGTAATGCAGTATGATTAGCTAACAAATTTCTGTTTTAACTCACCAGAACGCCTGTTGCTTATTCTTAGTGATGTTTTCTTACAAAGTTTATTCTGTTCTTCATCTGCCACACTTTAAGAACTCATTAATTTCTAGAACTACTTTATTTTCCTCTTTTTTGACCACTTAGGCTTTCTACAGTGGTATTTCCATGTCACTAAGTCATTTGATTACAGACTGTTTCTGTAGCACTTATGGGGAGACAACCCTGTAATTCACTATGGGTTTTTTACTGGTTAGAAACTTAACTTTTAGTTCTTAAGATTGTCTAGTTGTATTTGTATATATCTAGATAAGGTAGAAAAACAAGCTGGGAGATGAACAGCCTGGCTTTATAGCCTACTTTGGATAGTATCAACTTTCTGCTGAACACACAGAAGTGTTCTGAATTCAGGTTACATTCTCTGCTTCCACAGGAAGAAAATACATTTTTAGCTATATTTTTATAGAGCAGTAGCTAGAGACTAGTTTAATTAATCAAGTGTCTATTCTGTGTTTATCTTGGGAATATATTCCAGTAGTGACTACTTTTTCTATTTTAAGGTGGTATCTAGGATGTAACTAAATACTGCCTGTAGAATTTAATGTGTTCTTTTCTGTAAGTTTTTGCTCTCCTGCTCTTCTCTTATTTCCTACTCGTTTCTGCCCTCTCACATAGTATTCTTTCTAAAATCCAGACTTAATATTACCAGCAGTGAAAAATGTAAGAAGTTTTTTTATTTTAAAGGGTTTAATGTGGAATTTTAGAAGAAATTCAACAGCGAATGAAATTAAATCCATTTGACATACCACACAGCTAACCCTCAAGAGTTTATCTGTGTGAGTGAATAAAAATTTTGCCTAAATTTCTCTATTCAAGTGTTGATGCTATTGGAGAACTGGAATTGGAAAAGTGTTCTAGCAATGTATTGTTGCTCTGACCTTTTCCAAGAGGAGTCAAGGTAGGGTGAGGCCACAGTTTGACAGGATTTGAAATGAAATGGCTATTTAGTATGTGGGGATAAGGGAAATTTAATTGTAGCTTGGAAGCTAAAGAAAACCCTTCTGAAACATAACCGTTTTATGTAATCCTTTCCTGTCAAGGCAGAGCATACATTCTTAACACAAAACAGTGCAAAAGTCAAGACTCTTTTATAACAATACTAATAATGGTTACAGTAATGATACTTCACTAAAGTGCAGATGCTACACTTGAAAATTTAGCTGCTGGTTTATATTCCTTTCCCAACCTACAGTCAGATAGTTTGCAAAACAACTGAATGTCTGCATTTTTTGAAGTAGTTCTCAAAACAATCCATAATCTTTCTTTTTTTTTTTTTTTTTGTACTAAAAGATAATCATTTTGAAGAAATTATAAGTTGCAAGAAGAATTTCATGTAAAGACATGATCTTAAAGACATGATCTTAGTCTCATATTCTGCTCTGTTTATGCAGAAGTGATTTGTCAGTCCATTTTTGGCCATCCTAGTATGAATTACTGGTGTACTTCAGATTACCTACAGTTCTCATTGAAATAAACAAATATTTAGTGATTTTGAACACTGGGTGTCTCTTGTGGGTATTCATCCGAAGATATAGGAGGCTGTTTCTCATAAGCTTAAAAATGCTAGAGATGATCCCTTAATAGTTGCAGATTTGCTTTGATTTATTTGTTTCATATTACATGAATGCATCTAAGTTCAACATTCTAGGCAAGAACTTCAAACTATTGAAGTTAATGTCAAAACTCTTCCTGGATTCAATAGTGCAGAACTGGGCTGCAAATGAATGAAGCAGACAGCTGAATATACCGTAGAGAAATAATTATTGTGGGCTCTCTGATAGTTCCTCATTAACACTTTTGGATGTGGACTTTGTAAGAAAATGCTTGGAGCTAGTCTTTGGTAACTGTTTGTTAGACAAATTAATAACTGTGGTTGCTGGTTCATGCAGAGTTTTCTTTATTGTTTTTTTTCCCCCCCCTTATGTTTCTTTCAGCACTTCAAACAATATAAATGATTAAAAGTCTTCACTAGATGGGGAAAAAAAAGATGCTTATAGTATAGTACTTCCTTACTCTGAAGTTATTGATATGATGTAATATTTTTATGCTTGGGTAAGTATAGATTTTGAATAAAAGAATTTAATTAACATCGAATAAATGTTCCTCATAAGGGGAAAATTTCCCAGTTCTATTTCATTAATGCTTCACGCTTCTAGCAGTTAACAAATTTAATTTTATTCCTGGTGTTCAAGGTCTGTGCTTTTCTCTCCTATCTTTCTATCTGTCTGTCTTTTAAACGAGCTTTGTTTGTATTTTATGGCTGGGAAGAGATCAGTAGAAGAAAGAAAGCAAAAGGAAAAGTGCGGAGCATTTTTTCTCTACCTGAACTTTGTGTAATATGCAGTGAACATGTATCTGCAACTGTGTAAAATATATATATGATGTGATAAAAAGGTATTTAAAATTGTTTCTGAAGTTGAAAAACTAGAAAGCCTATTTTAAGAAGTCAGTTACAGAAAAATAAATTGTTCAAAATATTTGGAGGTAGGTAGGATCAGCTGTGTTATTAAAAAAAAATTAATCCTCATGTTTTCAGACAACTGTGCTCATTTAATTTAGCTTACTGAGGAATATAAGGATTTGGGGAATCTGTATATACCTAGCCTTTTCTGAGTTTATGTCATGCAATAGGATTGGTATAAAGTGTTTAAATTTGGGGTACAAATAGGTGAATTGTGGCAAATGGTCAAAGTGAAGTAAAATATTTGTTCAAATTATCTCATGCTAAAAACCTTCTAAGTTTACACTCAGTCTCAGCCTAGAATATCTTAGAATGGTCTGAGTTGAAGAGGACCACAATGATCATCTAGTTTCAACCCCCTGCTATGTGCAGGGTCACCAACCACTAGACCAGGTTGCTGAACTTCTGCTTTACAAAAGTCCAGAATAATGTCTAAGGCAGACTGTTCTTCTGTTTTCTCCCCACCTCTGCAGACTCAATAAAACTGAATTTTTTTTCATACAGTAACATGAGGTTTCGGTCTTTGCTCGTTCTTGGTGTTTAACTTATGAAACGGATAACGTTTCTCAAAACTTCAAGTTATTTCATTGAGATCATGCTATGATCCTCAACTTTAGATCTTGCCTATTTCTACCTATATTCTTAATTATCATCTGTCTGCATTTCTGTTATCTTATGCTGGTTTTCATTCATTGAATATTGTGAAGTGCAAAATTTATTCGTTTTTATAATGCAGGTAAATTAGGTTTTAATAGCATTTTTTAGTAGTCTTGCTCTAAGGAAAGGAGTTTTAAACAGTATTTTGAGTCTTAGAGCAGACCAATGTGTTATAATAATTGCACTTCAATAATCCAGAATGATAGCTCAAGGGAGCTGTGACTATTGAATAATTTGTTCATATATACTTGTCCTTGATAGTAAAATTGGATTAAAAATAATAATAGGAATAGAAAGAAAGAAGCTGAAAAACTGATTATCTTTGAAGGTCATTAGTGTTTTCAAAAAAGAAGATTAAAAAAAAAAAAGAACATGAAAATCTCACTTAAAGGAATAGTGTTTGCTTTGTTTTGAATAATAAGATTTTTATCACTACAAGAAAAGGTCTCATGATAATAAAGTCTAATTGTTATTTTCATCTGAAACTGGAAAGAATTAATTGCTGGGGGAAAAAAAAAGCTGAAGAAAAAAGTGGGGGAAAAAATCTTGAAGAGAATAATATGGATTGCATGGAACTATGAGTTGAAGGACATGCGCGTTGTAATATAAAGAAGAGAGGATATGAAAACAAAAGCTACAAGATAATGTAAAGATCAGAAGTATTCCCTATCTGTTTGACTAAAGTATATTTCAAGTGAAGGAAAGAAGTTGGTATATAAAAGGAAGTTTAGGGAGCTAATTGGTGAGGGAAAGAGGAATTTGCAGTCAATCTAAATCCACCCAAAAGCAGCATAGACTGAAATGGGGAAAAAATCTGTTCTGAAGAGTTTCAGAACCATTGGAAAACTGTCTTGAACGATGCCCTAATGACCAGTGTTTTAAATGAGCTTGTTTCCTTTAAAAATACGTGCATCAGAAATATATTTGAAGCACAGATTCATTGAGGTTGGAAGTGATCTTTTGTTATCATCTTCTCCAAGCACCTGCTGAAGTAGAGTCAGCTAGAGCAGGTACCCCAGAAAAGTTACCTTTCAGATATTATGACTGTGGAGTATCTGCAACCTTACTTGGCAGCTTTAATTGTGTTCAGCCACCCTCACTGCTGAGAGGGAAAAAAAAAAAGAAAAAGAATTTAGCTCTCTCTTCTTCACTCATTTCCTCCCTTCAGGTATTTAAAGACATTGATGAGATGCACTCTGAGATGTCTTGTCCAGGCTGAGCTGACCCAGCTCCCTTGGCCTTCCCTCATGGGAGAGAAGCTCCAGACCTTTCGTTGTTCTTATGGCCTTTCTTGTACTGGGGAGCTTGAAACTAGACACTGTATTCCAGATGTGACCTTACCAGAGTTGAGTTGAAAGGAAGAATCACTTTCCTCAGACTGGTGCTCTTTCTAATGCAGATCTGTGTCCTCATTGTTCTGCAAACTGGTCCTCCTTCACCAATGCTAAATCATCTTGTTGCAGACTTTCCTACTGATCTCAAGGGCTTTGGGATTTTTAAAAGCCACTCTTACCAGTAAAAAAATGAGGCAAAGGTGTACTGAACACCTTTGCCTTTTCTGTGTTTCCTTTGTCAGCAGCACTCCTGATATTCAGGCTGCTCTGCTCTTTCTGCTTGTGCCTCCCTCAGAATCATGATAGGAAGACTTCCTAGCTCACTCAGAATCATAGAATGTCCTGAATTTGAAGGAAGGAACACACAAGGGTCATCAAGTCTGACTCCTGACTCCACACTGGACCATTCAAAATATTTGCTTCTCATCTTCTGCTAAATTAGTTTCCTGTTTATTGCAATAGCTGTTGTTACACTTTTATTTAATTAGGAGAGCCAGGGACCCAAAGACACCGTTTGCATTCCTACAATGTAGGGCTGTGACTGCTCCTGTTGGATGTTGCTCTAGATCTCTTCATTGTGGGTTAAGGTGAGAGTATATGAGTTACAGGACCTTTTTCTGTAAATGCAGATAGTAATACAGTGCATGAATTTTGAGTTACCTGTATTCTGAGGCAGCAGTCTTAATATAATCTTATTATCCAACCCACTGGGACGAGCAGCCCCTAAATATTCCGTACAAGTATGTCTCAGTTATGCCTTTTACCAGTACAACTGTTTCAACATCCACTTTATTTTGAAATGGCTCTCATTTCAGCCGGTTAGCCAGAGTGCTGCCAAAGTCCACATGTGAGCTGTGCTTTGCTGTGATAAATAAGTACAACTTGCCTCAAAACACATTTGTTTTTTGCTTGGATTCTTTTACAGAATTTGATGGGTGACCTACTTTTGTGGGGATGAAAAATGATTTTCCTATTCCTTTGTGACGTTATGGGTCTTGTAAACTGTTGCACAGTCATTTGGAGTAGGTGGCATTATTAGGATGGGTATTAATTATTTGCAGGCTGCTGATGCATCACCTCTGCATGATCTATATTTGTCTCTTGAATGTTCCTCATCTCTTGCTAATTGTAGGTGGTTTAGAGGGAACTGGCTTCCACAGCTAAACAGGCTAGTGTAGCCTGCAGAATGGTCTTGAATTGTGCTCAAGAAAGTCCTGAGACACGTTACTTATATCAACCACCCCAAAATTTTTTTGCCATTCTGGGGTGGCTACATGCTATTACTGCTGCTCACTTACCTCAGAGGAATGAGCTTCCCGCATCCCCTCATCTTGACAGCATGTAAATTCCTTTCCCCTCTGGTTCCTTGCTTGTTAGGCAAATTACTTATTTTGTTTTAAAAAGCCTCATTTTTTTTTCTCATTTTGCTGCCTCTTGCTATTTTTCCTCTATTTCATCCATTACATTTTTTAAAAAACAGATTTAAGCTCTTCAGCAGATTTCACGATTACTGTTACATCAGTTGCCTGAAACTGAGTAGGGAAAGAAGCTGTGTTTTTATTATTTGTTTTTCTGATATTCAATTTTGCTTACCTTAAAAACAATATCTCACTTTCCCTTTCTTTCTCTTTTCTCTTCCCTGCATCTGCTGGCCCCTAAAACTGATAATGTGAGAGACCTCATCTGAGACAGGATTAAGAGCCAGGAAATCCTGACTCTTCCCATGACTCACTGTGTGTGTCCTTGGGCAATCTGTTATTATTACAGACAAAAGCTGCATGCAGCACTTGCCAGAAAAATTAAAAGCACGGTGCACGATCCAGGGAGATTATTTTCAAATTTTAATCAAAGCACTGCGAAAGTAGAAAGGAAAAAGAGGCTATAAAAGATGATACCTGAGGAGTAGTTTGTGAGCAGTGGAAATTGTCTATGAAAGGAAGCAGCTATTACTAACTGTATTTTTGTTCTTCTTGAAGCCTTGGGTTCTGTCATAATGCAAATATCAGTTGTGGGATATGATGAACACCTCCTCTATTTAAGAGCTGTTGCACTCCTTTTTGAAATGAAGTAGGTAAGTAAGAGTGAAGGTAGAGAGAGGGTGCACAGAGGTGTTGATGAGTTTGTGCTCAACTTCAGAAATCCAACTCTGAGATTTTTCTTAGAAGGTGGATATCTTGTCTTTAATTAAATACACACAAATGTGTGATTTGGGTTTTTGGTTTTTTTTTCTTAATTTTTTTTGTAGTTTTTACCTCCTGAAAGGCATGGACTCCTCACCATTTAGAACAAATAGCAGAGATCTTTGGAGAGAGAAAATGCCATTGCTTGGAGATCTGGGAAGGTAAACAGGATCATTTACCTATCTTCCATAATGACTCAGATATAAAAATAACTTCCACAAGAATATGATATAATAGAGAAAGCTTCCTTCTTTATTGTTTATTGAACATATTTGGATAAAGCCTAAATGACTATAAAATCTGTCTACATGCTGCTTCAGAGTGCCTGTCCAGATATTTTAATACCATGTCCATTCAGTGTTCATTCACGTGATGTTGCTTATAGTTTTATTTTGAGTACTTTAATGGCTTGTACATTAGCACCACTTGCTGTGGTATCTACAGAAATATTTTATAGTCAGCAACAAATTATTAGATTTTATCTAAGGTGGCTCTTCTGTCTTTCCTGGCCTCTTGTTCATGTCATCTCGCCTCTTCCCTCTGCTTTTTCTGCATTATATGCAGACTATACATTTGGCCCAACAGTTGGGCCAGCACAGCAGGGGAGGGAGGTTTGCAAGAGCATTTGCTCATGGCATAAATTGCCACCAAAAACAAAAATCATACTTCTGTATGGAAATAAATTAGTGAAGGCTACCTGGCATTTTTGTATAATCTTTGACATTTCTTTTGGAGACAAAAAAAGACTGCTTGGAATGAGGGATCTGTTTTTGAACTATTAAATGCCTCTGTATTTTTGGTTTCTGATTTTGGTAGTGATGGTTTACTGAGAAGAGAAAAATATTAGGGTTCTGAGGCTCAAAGATCTTCTGATTTATGTTATGTCAAAGGTCATTTGATCATTATGTCCTTTAGGATAATCCTACCCCTACAGTGGAAATTATTATTCCCATACAATAGAATGTGGTCCATCTTGTATCTGCTTGCTAAGCATTAACTTGCATTTCCCAATGTAAGTGCTGTGTCAACAGGCTGGCATGAGAATCTGATGAAAAGACCATCATTATCCTAGTTTTTGAGATCAAGTTTACAGCAGTTTACAGCAAGGACCATTGGAACTCCCATGTGTTATCAAGTGTAGTCCCCTGCTGTTGCAGGTAACATGTCATGTATCATCAGTTAGTTAAGCTCCACCTTAAAATCTCTTCAGTTCCTTGCATGACTTCTCATTTTGGAAGACCAATTCATTTTTATCCAGTGGTTTAAAAAATGATTATTAGTGTATTCATCAAAATTTTCGGAATACTCTCAATGGAGGGTAAGTGTGCAGTTACCTGATTCTTTCTGTTCTCTGTTAGCGTTAGAGACACATAAACCGTTTGTGAATCTAGATTTGAGTTCCATAAGCACTTCACCACATGAATAATTTCCTCTCTTGGACAGCTGAGTTAAATTGACCTGTTCAGAGTTGTTCAAATGTACATGCAGAGTCAATGATACAGAACCAAGTTCAGCTTCTAAATGTTGCTGTTATTACTGATTAAGTCATTAGAATCTAAAGGATGTGTGAATTTCTATCAGGTCAAAATAGTTTTCTTCAGTATTCTTTTCAAATAGAGAATCCTTTGCTGTCCGTCATTTAAAAACCAACCTTAATAACTTGTTAATTTAAAGACTTGTTCTCTAGTGGGTACCTACTGACAATAAATGCTTAGAAGGGATGCATCTTAAAAAGACTAACGTGAAAGATAATTGCATTAAACCTTCTAAAAATGCAGAAATCATTTAATACCAGAAGTGTAGCATTTGCAAATTATGTTACTACATTCTTCAGTCAGTAGTTCCGTGGGCTACAGGAAAACTTTTTAATGGTGAAAGACATGAGGGACCTCAGTATAGTCTAGACAACTACTTAAAATTCTTATGATACTCTCCTTCAAAGCTCCAGCTGGAGAGTCAACAGTGCTGTGAGTGCCTGTAGCTTGCTATTCTGGTCTTAAAGAAACAGTGCTGGAGAATAGCAATAAAGTAATAATAAACACCATAGATCTTGCAAAACATTCCCCCATAAATCCTTGCCTTTCAAAATCATTGCTTTGTTTAGTTCTGCTGTTGTATGAAATTTTTAGAGTGTATTAATGCAAACATGTAGCTTGCAGGATTCGAGTTTGTTTTATTTTTAATTTTCTTGCTTTTTAGTGGGAGAAAGTGACTAAAGATGGTGATTTATTATATTTTATTACAAAACTTCAAGGTCAGTAACTCTTTGTTTTTCTGAGAAAACATCTGTTTTTGTGGGTTGTTTTTTTTTTTGTTTTTTTTTTGAGTTTGATTCAGAACATGGGTAGTTTCAGCTTTTCTTCTGACCTCAGCTGGCAAAAGCATGTGCTCAGTCCCTAGGAACAGAATTCATTCTGACCCGGTAGAGGCTGTAGAGATCTTTGTGACCAGAGATCCCCACTGTAGAAATGCCTGGAATAATTTAGCAGTTAAAAATCTACTGATGTTAAACTCCATTTTGAGGCTTTGAAAAAGTTTCATTTCCCACCCAGCATTAAATAAATGAAATTTGCTTATTGACTATGTAGTCTTTTAACAAGCAATCATGAGAAAAGGAGACAAGCAGAAACTGAAGGACATCCCTGCTCAGACTGTCAGGAAAGGAAGGAATCTGGCAGAGACGTTCTCCAAGTATCACATTGTCATTTGTATTTTGTGACTGTGTTTGGATGTCTCCGTAAGTCACAAGGTACAAATGAATGCCACATTTTAAATTATTTTCCTTCCATTTTCTTGGCTAGTGAGTTTATTGCCACCATATTATCTTGTAAGCACCTGTTCCCTTTTTAATTCTGTCCTAATCTCTTGCCAAAATCTGAACTCTGGGGTATGAATGCAGTAGTCCCAATAAGCTATTTAAAATCAAAATAGTAATTGATACTTTTATACCCCTTTCTATGCACAAACTAATTAATTCTCATACCTCATGCAGAGAAGTATTTATTCTCTTTCCAGTTTTAACTGTCAGGAAGAAAAAAGAATTTAAGCAGCTACTTTTTGAAGCTTTCTGGAATGTTTTCAAAAGATAACCCAGCGAAGACACCTGTTCAGACTATCTAGTTTCAAAGTATTACTCAACAGTGCCACATTCTCCTTAACCTCCTCTACTTCATTCTTATGTTTTATTGTAGATCTCCTGTTTGGACCGTATTTGTGCCATGTAAATGTGAGCACACAACCAAATACCTCTCGTTAAATACCTCTTTAATGCATCTATTTTGTGTCATGCTCTCTCTGCCTGCTCTCCACATCATCTCAGAACTTCAAATGGTATTTCCAGCAGCATTTGGCTTTGGTCTCTGAAGAAATGGATGTTCATGCAGGAGATGGCCCTGCTGGGCACTGTGGCAGTTGCTGTACATGTATTAAGATGTCCCAGCAGCATACTGCATCACAGTGTGCTCTGCTCGTGTAGCCTTTGCTAGGGGAGACTCTTAAAAACTCTATTTAGGTCTGTGCACTGATTTCTTTGGCATCAAAATGTAAAACATTGCAGGAGATGAAGATAATAGACCTCTACTTAGCTTACAGGCTTTGGCAAGTTTTCCTTGGGGATATAAATGAAACAGTTTGGAGACTAAAGCAGAAAGAAACTGGAACTTCTCTCACCAGGCAGTCAGCAGGTAGAGTGTTAAGAAGTGGTTGGCTTTGTTTCTTTGTTATCCCTGTACTTTTAAAGCACTTTGCTACAGTAGTTTTCATTACACTTTTTCCTGGCAGTTTAAAGATAGGGTGAGTGACCTCTGCTACTCCAGAGTTTGTTGCATCAGCTGTAGCTGTTTGGTTTTCTGATGCACTTTGGTGTAGAGTCCTCTGATGAAGTTAATGTATTTGGACAAAGAGAGAAGGAAACATGTTCATTAAATTAGAATTCAAAAATACATTGACTTACAGCATTAATAGTTTTGGTGTCTTGCCTGTCCTCTATCCTGCACATTATTGTATTGCTTATAGTGCAATTGTGGGTAGCAAGAGGAAGCCCAAATCACTTTGCTTTTTAGTTGATAGTGTGATAGCCTTGATAATGCACCACACCAACTACGAGTATTTTGTGTAAACACTTGTCTACGTTTCAGTTATTAGCAAGAGATCCAGTTTTTTCCTCTTTTTTTCCCTATGCTTCCCATTAAGTTCCTTGTTCTCTTTAACTTTCCACAATGTTATGCCTAAGATCTAAATAATCTTAGCCTACAATTTTTCTTCTATTTGGGGAAGAAGACAATAACAAAGTCAGAAATCACAAGGAACAAACAGGAATCTCCAGCCAGGCCCTGAAAGAAATTCTGGCTTGCAGGTTTTATCTGCTGCTGGAACAGAAATGCAAATAATTGTGGTTTGTTGTGTTTGGGGTTTTTGGTTGTTTTTTTTTTCATCCCTTTTCAGGAAACAATATGATCAAGACTGTATGTGCACTTGTCTCCTACTGTAATGTCTGAGCCATAGCACAATTTGGAGGTGAATCCTCACTGAAGGAGTATTGTGTGGGTTTAGAGGAGAGGAACTGATTGATGCAAGAAGAAAAATGTTAGGGATAGGAAGACTGTGAGGAGAAAGAATATGAGTTAATTTGGCGAATGTTTTGATATTAGGGAATAATGTTGGAAGTGTATGTTTATGGTAAAGTAAGAATTGGAACCAAAAAAGAAAGCTGTATTTTTTTCTCTGATTTGGAAGTCACAGAATGTGAAAGTCACTTTCCTGTTTTAGTGAGTTCCATGGTACTTCATGGCTAAAGGGGACAGGACAAGGAGAGGAAGAAAGGAGACAAATGCCAACTTAGAATCCAGCCAAGCATATTACTGTGTAGTAATGAAATAAAACTAGTCTTTCTCCTTCACATTTGTGAGCTCTTCCTTCTCTGAAAGGCATGAGTGCAAAGAAACCTCCTGTGTTTCACAGAGAACTGCAAAAACCCAGGAGACCTGAAAACCCTGGAAGTTGAAATAACTTCCAGGAATCTGACCTGAAGCAAAGGATGCTGTATGTTTGGAGGTGTGGAATGGCTGGCTATGCATTAGGGAGCGGGGCTTGGAAAAGTTGGCAAACACAGCCTTCCCCGAGTTAGCATTCTGCATATCTTTTGGTGGGGCTAAAATGTTTA